TCTAGGTTACAGCCACAAGACAAAAATAACTGGTGCTAGAGCAGCGCAAGCAATCATTTTTCTGCTGTAAATGAGCACACACAAAAAAACAAGTGTCTCTTAAAGCATAAACAGCTCCTTTCACTACGGTGTCTGCCGGCAATGGCTAAAGTTCACAGCTAATGAGACTGGGAAAGAGAGCATCCTGCAGCCACCACCCACACACACACACACACACACACACACACACACACACACTGTACACCCGCCTCCACCACAGGAGCACTACCGATCAGTTAAGCTGAATTTCTAAGGTGAATTTCTAATAGGATATATCCCATTAACCTCTCTCAGGCAGGGATCATGGACTGATATTGAGAAGGAGAACCACAACTATGCTCCACCACATCAGGCCTGCTATAGTAGAAACAGGACTGTTTCAGAAAAAGGAAAGGGGTTTTTTCATTAAAGGTCACTCTTTCTTTCAGTTTTTCTAAAGCAAAAAAAAAAATTATTCAACATCTCTTCATCAAAACACTGTCACTTTACTTGTGCAATGATTTTGTTTGCCAACTTTCAGATAATTTTCTTAAGTATTATGACATTTGAAGATTTTTTTTTAGACCAAGTGATTCACAGAGAAATGAATCAGTTTAATCAATTATAAGAGTAACTGTTCATGACAGCCCTAAAGCCAATAGTGCACAAATGAGCCTAGGATACTAGCAATTACCAGACAGACAAGAATACAAAACCAATAACTCATGTCAATCATATGTAAAAAAAAAAAAAATTACCATTACAATAGATATACATATGCACTGTGGCCATCCCAGAGCAGAAGAATCATCTCTCTACAGCAGGCATGCTAGACTGCCACTGGAGTGGAAATGCAGGGAAGCTCTCTGCAGCTGCCAATCTCTACATTATACATGAATATGGACAACAGTTAGAGCATATTGGTTTCTTTGTGTTACCAGCCCCAATGGGATTCACAAGTATAACCCAACTGTGTGTGGTGAAGGAAAGCTGAAAACAGGTAAAGAGAAAAGACGTATGAACATTTTCATTTTCTAATGCTGCTGAATCTAAACAGATAGACAATGTTTTTTGTAGTTTGGCTAGGTGTTGTTGTTTTTTTTTTTTATAATTGAGGACCTTAATAAAAAGAACATGATTTAATTGGATAACACAAACTAGCCAGCAGTGGCATTTCTCCAACTGTTTCCTCACGTCTCAGGCCATGTTTGTGCTACAATGGCTATTACTGTCAGGATGAATCAGCGATAAAACGCTCACTGTGCCCGTCATACGTTACGTGTCCACGTAAATTTATTTAACCCAAACGTGATGCACACACCAGGGAACAGCTTGTGTATAATAGTGGGCTAGCTGGTTAACTCTCTTGATCTTTTTTTTTCTATTCATTTTGGGCATCTGTTGAATTCACATGGGAGACTCTTACACTGGAATAATGCGTGCAAATTTGTTTGCACACAGAGGAGAAGAGAGGCTCTCTCCGCACATGGAGACGAAGCAGCGGGCAAGGAAGCAATTACAAGCTGGTAGGCTTCATCTCACCACAAACCTCCCCCCACCCTCTTACATACATTGCCCTGGGATTTGCTGTATTAGGGAATCATGGGTATGATGGTGGAATGGGCCTCTGGGCCCACTCTAGAACAACCTGCTAATCCCCTGTGGAATAAGGGGTAAGGGAGGAGGGTAAATATGGGAGTAACAGGGCAGGTTAGATGCCCCGACAATGAGTCTATGCTGACATGCACCAGCACCCTCAAACCACACCCCAGCCCCCATCAACCACAGTGACACCCTCCCAGCAACGGATTCAGCAATGTCAGCCAGGGGAGAGCAGGAAAGCCCCAGGCAAGACGTCGGCCCTCCATCCCAGCCGAGCCTCTGTCCTCCACCCTTATCTGACAGAGCTAGCAGAATGAAACTAGGGTGCATACTAAATCAAGCTTCTCCAATCAAACATTGGCGGACAATTTAACTTGCACGCACAGATCCAAACCGGCTCGTTAAAACGGTTTAACTATGTGTCTAAATGATGATGCACAATGGCGTGCCCGATTGGTTGTATCAAAGGGCTTCAATGGAGAGTAAACCCTCAATCTCTGTTTGTCTACAGCACTAACTTGATATCTAATCTCTCAAAACATGTCACAATGCAGCCTCCAGGTCTTCATCATCTAACTTCATGTCTCCTCTTCCCTTTTTATCTTGATCTCATCATTTCTAAATTGCAACATAATTAATCTCTGTATTAAGAAATATGACTTTCTATATGAGATTTCCCCTCTCAGCTCACTCTGTCTCCATACGTCAGCACCAACAAGTCAATGTAGAAATCATATATTAACATAACTTCATCGATCTTCTTTCTTACTTCAAATTAAAAACCAGTCATCACTTTACTAATGAGCTAATACACCTTAAAATTAACTCGCTGAGAGTCCATTCTTATTTCATTGATGCCCCCCCGCAGATTCTTTTTCACTAGTAAGGTGAATCGACATCACATGCTGCAACCTTCCAATTAGACAGCAAGACATTCAGATCTCATTTTGATTTGGCCTGAGATCAAGGAATTCCAAGCCCCATTATTGAGCGTGCCTCGTGTGTCAAAATGGGATAAAATGTTAGTTGAAAGCATCTGAAGGAGGTCAAATTTAAAATGGCTAAGCTAGGGACTTACTTGAACCAATATTTAAATATCATAGCAATTCTACAGCAAAAATATTCATACAGTAGCCAACTGGTCTGCATTAAAAGTAAAAACTGAATGGGGTTCAGTGATGTTGATGCTACTGAGGTGTAGCTCAATATCTTTTCAGGTTGTGTTTTGCTGTAAGGTGTAGAGACCTGTGAGAAGGCAACAACTGTTCCTCATGGCATGAATAATTTAAGATTTCTTCTGGGGATCAGCAGTCATTACTATTATGAGGTCATATTCCCAAAAGGATAAACATTTGATTATCCCTTTCTCCTTCAAAATAAGTGAACCATTTGGAGACAGTTAATTTTACCTTGTTGTACATAATATGACTAGAATAACCAGCAAACACTTTAGAAATAGCAAAATGAAAATATGAAGTATGTGAAATAATGTATGCAGAGCTGCTTGGAGGATTTTGATTTGACTTGTATGATGCCACTACACTTGGTCATGTGTTTGTCAGATGGTCAGAGATGTTAGGAAACTCACTTCCACTCACATCTTTCTGACATCAGAATCAATACAAGGCTTCATCTGACAATTTCTCTAACTTCTTGGAACAACCCCTAAATCACTCAGTCTCTTTAAAGTCTACATTGATCCACTTCACCAGAATGAATGACATCCTCTCCTGGTAGTGATAGAGACTGTACAGTACAAACCCAAAGACCCAAAGCACATCAATTTGTCTGAACCTCAGACTCCACTGTTATCACAGCTAAAACTATCCTGAGCCAACATCAACCTCCTTCTTACCATATCGTTGTCTGTGCATGTGTGTGTTTGTGGATCACGTAACCTGAATTTCACAACAGGAAGATACCCTAGCTCCTTCCTCAAAAGGACCAGGCCACAAAGAAGTGCACCGCTGCCAAAACATGCCTTAAAAAAATAAATCACAGCCAATTAAAAATCGTGTTGTTGTTATTGAGAAACAGAAGGGATAAAAAAAAAAAAAACAGTTAACAGAACCCCCTCTAGCAGTTTGAAGACAATGACAAATATTTTGTCTTCAAAATAAATATCCTCTTTTTTCCAGCCAAGTGAACTTTGACAGGAGGGAATGGATTTAACCAGCTAAAAGTAAGTAAAATCACCTATCAAAATATGAATACAGTGGGCTGTCAGAGACTGCCCTGCATGGGATTAAATATAGCTGCAAAGTGACTAAGATCAGGACTTTAGCACGTAGTTGAGGAAGGGAAATAAGTCTACCAAGGAAAGATTTACTAAAGCAGTCAAGTGACCACACCACAGAGTGTGATGGGGAAAAGCCATGGGCTACTTTCTGGGTCACAGTGCTTCACTGATCTCAGGTCGTAATGGGAAGGTGTGTATTTCTGGACATTAGGTAACATTTACAGAAGCCTTGGGGGCTGCTGTAAGTTTCTTTCTGTAAAATAAATCAACAGCTATTACTGGCTGGCTTTCACCACTCCTGTAGGGTTATGTAGGGACCGGAGCAGACAATATCTCTAGGGAATATTATTATGAGACATTTAAGCTGCCTCTCTGCCGAAGCATCTCAATGAGTCCCTCTTTTGCGGGTAAAGAAAGGCACAGAAGAAAAATCCTGCCACACCAACATAACTAAGTCTGTGTGGGATTTCTTTTTCTCTCCAGATTTGGCTTCGGGTGCGTTGTTGTCACTTGTTTGTCTCACTTCAGTGTTTGCTCCAGTCAGCCTGGAACAATACACACGGTTGCAGGACCTCTCAAGGTCCTCGGCAATCTCACTTCCACACACACTAAAATGAACAAAAGGTCTCGTCTTTGTTTGCCTCAGATGTGTTTCTTTCGAAGAACTGGCAGAGGCTGAGCAAAATACACAGCTACACTGCGACTGGCTGTCAAAAGCGGCAGCTATTTCTCCCGATTCAAAAAGACATAGGGTAACAAGAGGACATACACCGCACTTCTGAGTCTGAATATTCCATTAATTTTACTATAACCTGGCAATACAAATGTAAATTGGGAATAATAATAAAAAAAACAGCTAAATGTGGCTGTTGATTGGGTAAACCACGGGGGGTCAGAGCGACGACCCTATGCTTTGCAATGTAGCAGTGAGATGAAATCCTAGCTCTCATTACGGGCTGTTTGAAAGAGAGATGGTGCTGCCATGCATAAAAACACTCAGCACTCACTAAAACAATTCTCTGGTTGAAATCATCATTGGTAGGGACAGTTCACCTCTCCAAACATATGCATACAGTCACACATGCCCTGCGAGTGAACGCAGAGGACAGCAGTTTTAAAAATATAAAGACAATAAACTTACCGACGCCGTATTTTTCATTCTCTGTAGGTATCCACATGTTTGCGGTGGGCACATTTAAGTGAGTGGTCGGAATAGCAGTGAAATACAGGGTTTCGGTGCTGTGTAACGCATTCTATTGGTGTGCTTTCCTCCGATCAGTAGTAGGAGTCATTGTTTAGGTTACATAGGAGAGAAAGCACTGTCGCTGCTGCTGCTGCTGCTCTGTAGGTAGAGACGTGCTACCTTCAGGTGCTGTAGGAAATGTGAGAAGGTCAGCGGACTTGGAGTGCCAGGTAAAATACTTTTCTTTTTTTTAATTTCCCTTTTCCCGTTCTGCTTGGCATTTACCAAAATGTCACCAGTGTCACCTAACAAACAGTTTTCACTCAGAACTTTTTTTTTAGCAATATAAGTTAACACATCAGTCACAATAGGACTCTTCCTTCTGTGACAGCACTGAAAAGTAAAGGACTGTTTCCTTATTCCAAATATGCAGCACAATCCATTTGCACTCTTATTTTCAAATACATGGATGAGATTTACCATTGTAAGACAGAAATAGCCGAGGAGTATTTGAATGCATCGGCATCGCCAGTGCAGCCAGAAATGGAGGCGACGTATTCTGGGACTTGTAGTACCACCCATTGACGTCGATGACTGGCCCGTTTTCCAAACCATCTTCAACCTTGCAGTAACATTTGGGCATTCTTCTTCTCTTAGCCTTTCTGGTGAACGGATCCCATATGCGAATAGTAAATAGCAATTCTCTCTAGCTACTAACCTTAGCATAATAAAGACATGCAATAAAATATTTATATTTATTTATGTCTAGCCTAGTATAATATAGACCCATCTATTTCAGGATACTGGTATAGAACTTGACCTTTTAACAGTGGGAAGTCTTTCTTTGAACACACAAGCCTTCTACTGGGACAACTAGTGCATGAATATGGTATTGTAAGGAGGATGCAGAAAACTAAACAAGAGTTTCACAGCCAATATGAAGAGTTCAGCACACAGCTCCCAGTGTGTATATGTGCAAAAGAGAGTGTATTTGTGCATGTCTCTCTGTATGTGGGTTAGTGCATGTGCACTGAATGTCACAGTTTTTATGAACAGGCTGTCCTCATCATCTAATATATCCATTTCACTCATACTTTTATTTTCTTTTGCTTTCATTCCTTTCACTCATCATCTGTCTGGGTATAGCTGGTATTGTGACTAAATACAAAGGATTTTTATTAAAAAAAAAATCTAATGCATGTTCATTTCCCATGCTGTAAATGGTGCATTAAAATGCTCTGAACTATCAAATGCGCCCCTTTTTCTGTCTTATCACTAGTTCGCATGTCCACTTACCCATCCACCTTTG